TTGCTGGTGTTGTAAGAAAAAGAGGGCACCATCCTTCATATCGTCTGGGCCTGTAAAAAGCTGGATAGTTTTAGGTCTCAGGTGAGTGACCACATAAAAACCTTTTGATTTGGGTAGAAACCCAGCCAAGTACCTTTTCCATCTTTCTGATCTCCCAAAATGGAGATTTAAGCAGTCCATGTTGATCCAGCTGCTGAACGTAGTGAGGGCATGTATCCCAGTTCTCTGGAGGCAGGTTTGCGAAAATTGCAGATATACACTCTATGAAGAGTCTCTCAGCCTCCCTACATAGGGTAGGGAAGAAATATTCCATAGTAGGTGGTTCCACTGGACGCTATTCAGCTGCTCTCAGGAATACCGTAGGATTTGTGCTGGGGAGAAGTGAGATTTTGTCCTGCCCTCCACCTCTCTTTTTCCCTTCTCCCCTTTTTTTTCTTTTTTTCCCCTCTCTCCTTCAGTTTACTTTTTGTAATGGCCTCTAACAGAGTGGGCTGAGTGCTACTTGTGTTCATCACTGTTTTTTTTTTTTTTCCTTTAAAAAGAAAAAACTTTTTGAAGGGGGTGTGAGGTAGCTAACATTTACATGACTGTCATGTAGATCAATATCATGGTCGCGTTGTTTATGGTTTTGTATATTTTTTGCTCTGGCCTTGTCCATTAACTGATTTCTTGTACAACCTTACTTACAGTACCTGTTTTGTTTAAAATTTTAAATAAAGAATGTAAAAAAATAAAGGCAAATACACTGTTCATTTTGCAAGTGAAGTTTCAATTTGCAAGGGAATTTTCCCCAAGATTAGTGAAAGAGTTGAAGCTCTGTTGACTTCCATGATGCAATCATGTGCAAGTTTCACCACGTTCAGTAGTGCTTTGGGGAAAATTCTCTTGAAAAATGCAACTTTCCTTGCAAAGTGAACAACCTATTTCCCTTTGGTAAATCAACCCTAATGTGTGAGTATAGCCACGAAATGCACATGACCATCTCTGGCCAGATTGTTAGTCCAGAATGTAGATGCTGACCATGGATGATACCTGAACAATGGTAGCACCATAGCAGAGAAAATCAGACTAAGACATTTGGCTGAATTCACTAAGCAGTATCTTACCGCATCCAAGTATGGGTTAGATATTGCACAGCGTTTTTTGCATTCACTAAAAAATACTACTAAAATACTGCATTAGTTATTTTATCAAGTCATGTGGTATTTTAGTAGTGAAAACCATGCGTTAATGTTTTAGCTGTCAGCTGCCAGCAATTAAAAAAATTAATTAAAAAATGGCATGGGGTCCCCCCTTCATTCATACCAAGCCCTTCGGGTCTGGTATAGGTTTTGAGGGGAACCCCCATGCCAAAGTTTAAAAAAAAATGGCGTGGGGTCCCTCCCCCAAAATCCATACCAGTGCCTTATCCGGGCATGCAGCCCAGCAAGTCAGGAAAGGGACCGACCTGAAAAAAGAAAAAAAAGGATCCACTCTCAACAACGCTGGCACCTGCTGTCTAACAGCTCCGCTGGGCTGACGGTTCTGAAATATCTAAGGGGCAGGGCCACCCGGTGACATCACCCCTGTGACTCTACCCCCTTGTGACGTCATTGGCTGAGGCATGCTGATGTTCCCCTCAAAACCCATACCAGACCAGAAGGGCTTGGTATGGATGGAGGAGGGGGGTCTACTCCGTTTTTTCATTATTTTTTATTTGACGACAATTTATTTTTTTTTACATTCAGCTGCCAGTGGGGAACCCCGCTGACAGCTGATGATTCATAGGTTATTAAGGACTCAACGGCCACCCATTCCTTAACAACCCATGACAGTTACTGACAGATAACAGTACATACCACATGCCTGGACCACTACTTAATTACCGCATGCATTTAATTATTTATTTCCTTTTGTGAATTGACTTTTAGGTCTTTTTATGAGGTATTTACTGAGCGTTTTTGCTATTTTCAGTAAATACAGCTTACAGCAATAGTGAATTGACATTTTCAGTATCGCATGAGATATGTGGTCATGCGAATGACTGAACTCATGCAATAATAACCTTTAGTGAATTGACCCCATTGTTAGGAGGAATAAAGTTCTCTCTTTGAGAGGTAATACATGACTGTAAGTGTTACACAATACTTAGCGTGCATGCACTTTACATCAAAAATGTATCTAATACTTGGATAGCTTTATTCTTACATTTGTCACTGAAATGCAGTTAAAATTGAAATTCCAACATTCTTAAAAATTAGGACTACTACATGTGTTCTGTTTCCCCAGTCTAAGCATTGCAAATGTGATTTCCATAACTGATCCACTTGCAGTGAGATAGCTATAATTTATAAACCCATCAGCATTGGCAGACAGTGACTGGATCCAAATGACATCTCAATTGTAGAAAGCTTTAATCGAATACTTTTGCAGATCTTAACAAATTAACATCTTATAGGTCAAAAAATCATAATATGTATAACTGCAGCAATTACATGTGCTCCAGACAGAAACTAAAGGCACACTGAAGGGGAGTGGCACTAACTGTACAGAGCATCTCCTAGCTACAAGTGAGGAAGGGACAAAATTATTTAATGGCAAACAAAGAACAATGCATGTATAACATAATAACATCTATGACAAAGGTTCATTCATATGCCATTTGTGATAATGCATATGTCTTCTGCTCAAAAAGTCGAAATACACTGCATGGATATGCCAGTTGAACAACCTTTAGTACCTACTGGAATTGAAGTAGCACCTTTCTTACAGATTACATGCACAATTTGTTTCTGCAGGTTTGTTAACAATCTTGAAGAAAGCATCAACATAACAGTGGCTGGTACAAGCCTTGGTGGAATTTCACCGTTCAGCTTTTCCAATTACACTATGGAAAGTTTGGGAATGTAAGTACATTCATTTAAAATATGCGTAACCAAAAGCTATATAAAAGAGTTTATATAAGTTTCACCTAAATTATATTACATTTTTCTGCACAATGAAAAAATAAGATACATACTCCAACCGCCACATTAACAATAGAACATGGATACTTCAATAGTTTATTTTGGTCATTAATTTAAAGGGTATATCCAGTCAAAACTTTTTTCTTAGTTTGTGATAGAATGACGAAAGATCAGAACCACCGTCAGGTTTATAGCAATTTACCTTCACTTCCTGTCCTGCTGACTATGTTTTACTAGACAGGAAGTGAGGGCAACACTCCAACAGCAACGCCAACAGAAATAAACATGTTTTTGTTTAGGGGAGTAGGAGAATGATATAATCCTGCCAGATATTTATTTCTGTCCCATGAAATTGTTATCAGCAGCAGAGAAAGTGAGGGTAAACATTTGTAGCGAATGCACAGCAGTAGAAACCAGACAGGAGTTCTCATCCTTCCCCATTCTATACAATACTAGACAAAAAAGTTTTCGGCTTTTTTTTAGACATTTTTAGAACTATTGCCAATGTCCTGTACAGATGCTTGAGATAAAACAAAAAAAAAAATTCACAAATACTAGGGTGGCTGTGAGGATGTATACAATGCACCTGATGTACCACGTTCACATTGACTACTTTAACCACTTCAATACCGGGCACTTTCACCCCCTTCCTGCCCAGGCCAATTTTCAGGTTTCAACGCTCTCACAATTTGAATGACAATTGCGTGGTCATGCAACACTGTACCCAAACTAAAATGTTATCATTTTCTTCACACAACTAGAGCTTTCTTTTGGTTGTATTTAATCACCACTGGGGTTTTTATTTTTTGCTAAATTATCAGACAAAGACTGAACATTTTGAAAAAAAAAACCCCACGTTTTTCTTTGTTTCTGTTATAAAAGTTTGCAAATAAATAATTGTTCTTCAGAAATTTAGTCCAAGATGTATTCTGCTACATTTCTTTGGTGAAAATAACCCAAATCAGTATTTATTATTTAGTCTGTAGGAAGTTATAGAGTTCACAAACTATGGTGTATATCTGAAAATTGATCAATCCTGAAGTATTGACGGCCAATCTAATTTCTTGAGACCCAAAAATGTCAGAACAGTACAGATATCCCCCAATTGACCCCTTTTTTTCAAAGTAGATATCGCGTATTTTATAAGAGGCATGGCGAATTTTTTGAAGATGTAATTTTTTTGTCATAATTTTTCAGAAAATTAGAAATTAAAAAAATTATTTTCACAATTTTTTTTTTACATACTGTCACCAGTGCAGTACAGCATCAGCATGTAACTGGTGTGGCGTGATCAGGGACACTGACTGGTGACAGTGCGAAAAAAAAAAATTGATAATTTTTAAAAAAATGTTTATCATTTTTATTTATTACATTTTTTCTCTTTTTTTAAGATTTTTTTTCTCATATTACACTATGACCAAAGTAGTATAATGTTACCATAGTAACATTGTACTACTTTGGGGAAGTGATCAGTATTTTTTTTTTTTCTTTACACAATTTGTTTGCTTATAGCAAAGAATTTATTTGCTATAAGCAAGCATTTAGCTGAATGAAATCGATTCATTCAGGTTTTTTTTTTTTGTGATTAGTTGTGATTGGCCACGGCTAATCACATGACATAGATGGGCTGTGATTGGCCCAGCCTGTGCATGTGATCGCTGTGACCATTCACAGCTAGACGCACTTGTATGCAATGGATGGCATGAAAGGAAGCCATTGATTGTATACAACTGTCATGTGACCTGCTGTGATTGGTCACAGCAGGTCACATGGTACTGGCAACAGGTCCAGTACACAGATCTGTCATTGGCCGTGTCTGAGGTACACGGCTGGTAACAGATCTCTCACCACAGCGCAATCTGGGAAGGACGTCATATGATGCCCTCCCAGAGGAACGAGGTGTTCGCCCAGCCGTCATTTGACTATAGGCCGGGCGGCAAGTGGTTAAATAACTTTTTTAAGCATGTATGTCAGAGTGAGCTTGTGGTTATTTATTTGTGTAGTTGTTCAACTGGTTCCAGAACTAATTCTACAGGGCAGCACGGCTGTGCAAAATTTTGCATTTCTGGGTAGGGGGCGTGCACACGCCACCCTACCCACACCGCAATTGGCGGCTACAGCTGTCGAACATCGGCTCCCGGTGGAACAGTGGAAGGGGAAAGGTCTGTGTGTAAACAACACAGATCTCTCCTCTGTCAGCACCGACATGCTGCTTTGTATTGCTCTGCACAGCAGAGCAATACAAAGCAGTATGTTTCCCTAGTAAAACACACACACAGCACACACAGTAAAACAGCACACCGTTAACCCTTTGATCGCCCCAGATGTTAACCCCTTCCTGCTCAGTGCCATTAGTACAGTGTCAGTGCTTTTTATTAGCAATGATCACTGTATTAATGTCACTGAGCATGTCAGTGACGGTTAGTCAGTTCCACCCCAGTGTCAGAATGTCCGCTGCAGTCCCACAGTCCCACTATAAGTCACTAATCGCCGCCATTACTAGTATAAAAATAAAATTCCAGTATATATACCTCCATTTGTAGATGCTATAACTTTCATGTGAAGCAATTAATTTACACGTATTAGGATTTTTTTTTAGCAAAGACATGTAGCAGAATACATTTTGGTCTAAATTTAGCATGAAATTAGATTTTTTAAATTTTTTTCACTGGACGTGTTTAATAGCAAAAAGTAAAAAATATAGGTTTTTTTCAAAGCTGTCAGTCTTTTTTTTTTCCTTATAGCACAAAAAATAAAAAATACACAGGTGATCAAATACCACCAAAAGAAAGCTATAATTGTGGGAAAACAAAGTACATAAATTTTATTTGGGTGCAGCAGCATTGCATGACCTCGCAATTGTCAGTTAAAGTAGCGCAGCGTCATAATGCAAAAAATAGCCTTGTTAGGAAGGGGGGTAAATCCTCAGGAGGGCAAGTGGTTAAAGTGAGCTTTTTAGCTCTATAGTCTTAATCTGCAATGCTATTATACTCTACTTGCTGAGAGGAAAGGATTTTTTGCAGCAAAAACATATTATTATTTTTTTTTAATTCATAATACCTAAATATATAGAAGAGGTTACTGAAATCAGAATTCCAGACAGCCAACTAAGGGCTCATTCACACTTGACTTTATTTCTAACTCTTGCCAAACGCCCCTATAGCATTTGACAGGCGTTAGACAGGCGTTTGGGAAGCGGTTTTAACACTCCTCAAACACTCCCCAAACGCCCCTTGCACAGTTTGGAGGCGGTTGATAGGCATTTGCCAAGCGTTAAAACTGCGCCACAAACGTCTATAATGAAGTTAAATGGTATTAATGCTCTGCAACTGCCCCACAACCACCTCGCAAGTGCACTGCAAATGCCTTGCAGGCGTTTGAGGAGAGGCACCACAGACTTGAATGGGAGGCTTCAACTCCTCCTGACTTGACACGAGGCGTCAGTTTTGCCACGACGCTAACGCTTCAGTGTGAACAGCACTGTGTGCTGCCATGTGCAGAATTTTCATAGGCATTTGAGAAACGTTAAAAACGCTTCCCAAACACCTGTCTGACGCCTGCTGACAAAGCTAGCGTGAACTGAGCCCAACAGTACAGCCAGTTTTTGAGCTTCCCTGCAACAAAGCAGCTAAGCAATATATCTGGGTCCAGGACTAACCCCAGTCTGTTTCTGAACAATGAAGACCTGCAGCACTTTGGAAATTCCTGACCTTCCTTTTCCAGGCTGAGCATTACTGTGCAGGAATTGCTCAAGGTTGATATCAAGAAAGATACAAGCACTCATACTAATTCTATGTAAAAATATATTTAACAATTTTTTGATAATACACGTCTGGATTTAATAGAATTTTTAACTACCCAGAGATAAGCCCTAAATTACAAATAATTATATAGTACATGATATAGTATGGCTGAACTGCAGCAGCATACTGTACATCATACCTATTTGTAGGGCTTGTAGGGGAACGCAGTTCTGGTACCTCCAGCACTAAATGTATGTAATGGCAAGAGGTGATGGGGTGTACTGCAGGGTCCATTGATGACTGCTGCTAAGGGATATATTGTAGCTGGAGGGGATCTATTCTTGTGGGGGGGTCTATTGATGCTTGGGAGGTCTGCTGTTGATGGAGGGGGATCTATTATTGCTGGGGGTGGGTCTTATGTTGCTGTGTGGTCAATTGTTGCTAGGCGGGCTCTACTGTTGAGGGAGGGGGGCTCTATTGTCTATTGGCTGTGGGGAGATCTGTTGTTGTTGCCAGGGGTCTATTGTTGCTGGAGGGATATTTTGTTGCAGGTGGTCCAGTGTTGCTGAGGGGGGGGGGGTGGTCTTTCATTGCTGCTGTAGGGGATCTATTTTACTGTTTTTCTTGTTATCATTAACAAATTCTATGCAAATTGATACTTGGTTCTGTATTCTCTAAAAGGGCGGTACTGGTAGGAAGGTAAGGGGTGGAACCAAGGGATGGTGTGGGATGGAGACAAGGGGTAGCTTGGAAAGTTAGAGTTCCTGCACCTATTCTCTGCTTATTTGTAGACAATTTTCTGATCAATGAGCTCTATTTACTGATTAAGATGACACGAGGGGTTTATTTACTAAAGCTGGAGAGTCCAAAATCAGACTCCCTTCTGCATAGAAACTAATCAGCTTCAAACCTCAGCTTGTTCAATGAAGCTTTGGCAATGAAACCTGGAAGCTGATTGGTTTCTATGCAGAAGGGAGTCTGATTTTGGACTCTCCAGCTTTAGTAAATAAACCCCCAGACGTCAACATTAATCATACCAGTTAAACCACAAATAACCATCCTGTACAGAAAATTATACTGTAACATACATGTCCACATTTACACTTAAAGAAAAACTTGTGACATCACCTATGGTGTTTGAATGCCAGCATTAAATGTTTTATAGAATTATTTTTTGTGTTTGAATTGGCTGTTTTTATTGTATAGAAAAAACAATAGAAGGTGTGACTGAAACTGGGAAGAAGTGCTCTGTGGAGTCTATGAAGTTTGGTTTTGGAAGCTCTTACACAATAATCATTAATGGAGTAAGTAAATTCTAGCATTTCTTGTGTTCAGCAATGAGGAATTAGTTGATCTGCTTCTATCTACAGTACAGTTGTGCACATCTGATATGTTATGCTTTTTTGTGAGTAGCTATACCTTTATCTTGTAGAGCAAAAAGAAATATTAGCATAGTCATTTCATCCTTTTTCAGCCAATCAGCTACTTTGAAGTTTATACATCCTAGTAGCTGTATTAGTAGTAGTAGCAATAGTTGTTGTAGCAGTAGTAGTAGCCTATTAGTGCTCATCACATGACCACATTTCAAATCTTAGATCTCTGCTGGTTTAATTTGCTTATGAAACTGACATTTAGGCAAAGCTTGCCAGTTAATCTGATTCTCTTGTAGGCCGCCTATACCTAATGTCTAACATGTAACAGAATGTTAAGGCCAGGTACCCCTTAGTGGCTGGCATACATCAGAAGTGTAACTGCCCCTCCAGCAGGTTTGGCTAAACATCAGAAACCTGCAAGGGCTTTCCAGAAAGTCCAGATATAGGAGGGTCAGTAACTCAGGTCATATCTGTGGCTAACCATTACATAGTTCAACACCAGAAGGAAAACTCTTTGACTCGACAGGGCTTTCTATTTTCGAGAGCTCCAGGTACTGTAAAAAGGGCCATTTCTCTACCAGGCAAGTGGGATGTTGCAGCCCTTAATGGTCCATCCACTGCAACTAATGAAAGACCCAACAACTTCACTCCATCACAGTGCAGCAATGCCCTCTCTTATATAGATCAATTGCTTCTTCCCCAAAGAAACCATTACTCTTCTCACTCACTCTAAATTGCAGCTCAGTACAAAGAAAGAATGTCCAGCCTGGTTCAGTTTGTGATTTAACAGCTTTTCTTCAGTATAACTTAACAACAAATAATCTTGTCATTAGGAGGCATTTTAACAATGTTTTAGGCAGGTTTTAATAGAATAAACATCTTTGATAGCTTCTAGTGCTCGGTGGTCACAAAGGCACAGGTTACACAGAACAAAGTACAGTACAAAGGGCCATTTCTCTACCAGGCAGGTTACACAGATACTCTCTATCCTGTTCCCAACAGAGTTCCCCACTTCTTCAAAAAAAGGGAAGTCACTGCAACAGCACAATTATCCTATACCTGGCTCTCCTTGCCCTTGAAGAACTGACTAAGATTGGAGGAGGGGGGATGAAAGGTCTGCCTCCTCCAATCATGGAGCAATTTTCATTGTGGGAATCTATAATAAAGGGTGCTATGAATGGAGCAGGGGGTGGAAAAGACAGGTATAAATGGCACTTCTGACCAGTGCCTGTCACAGACGCAGCTGCTGAGATTAACCCCTGAAGCACCAGGAGATAACCAATCTTGGGATATAATAATATAAATATATATATATATATATATATATATATACACATATATATATATTTATTATGAGGAATTTTACTGATAACAGTAACCACCAGCACATGTGACACACGTCATTGCCTTTCAAGTAGTGTCCCTGCTGCTGTTTAAAAAGAAAATCACTAAACATCATCTTTATATAAAACCTTTGATTATTGAATATTTGATTTTCCATTGAGGTATTTATTATAAATCTGTCAAGTATTAAACATGTTCTTTTTAATGAAAATTTGGAAATGTGAAAGAAGTACTAATTTAAATATCAGGAAATACATTGTTTTTTTTTTTCTTATTTTTCTCTACTTAGTGCACAGAAACCATGAATGTAAACTACATTGAAGATATTAAACCTAACACAATTCACATGGCCCTTCAGATTCCACAGTACTTCCTCCTTACTATTGGGGAGGTTGTCTTCTCAGTTACTGGGCTGGAATTTTCATACTCTCAGGTGGGTAGCAATAACCTATATTATTATTATTAAGGAGGCAAGCACAAGGACAGCAATATTTATCTAAATAAAAATACCTCTTGAAGTGTATTGTTGAAATTAAAGTGCCTTTTAAAAGCACTGAATAGATCTGCCTAAAACAGGGGTCTCCAAACTTTCTAAACAGAGGGTCAGTTTGCAGTCTTTCAGACATTAGGAGGGGCAGACTGTAGCCAGTGGGAGTAGAAACAGCCCCAGTATTAGCAGGAGTAGACAATGCCTCAGACTTGGTGGTTAGTGGGGATAAAACATATTACATAGGACCTTTGGTCAGTAGGAAGAGGAATAGTGCCCCATCATTGGTATCAATGGGAGGAATAGTGCCCCATCATTAGTATCAGTGGAAGGAATAGTGCCCCATCATTAGTATCAGTGGAAGGAATAGTGCCCCATCATTGGTATCAGTGGAAGGAATAGTGCCCCATCATTGGTATCAGTGGAAGGAATAGTGCCCCATCATTAGTATCAGTGGAAGGAATAGTGCCCCATCATT